AATTCTGTCCAAATAATCCACATAGGCATCTGCGTATATCAAATGGGGAATGCCGAGAATGGTTTTAATATTTTCACCACTGAAGACGTCTTCTGAGTGGCATGGGACTTTTAGAAGTGAACATGTTTTTGGCTGCATGGAATTTTCGGACGCCAACCCTCTTTTAAACACGCTCGACGAGAAAGACAAATAAAATAAATGAATAAATGCATATTTTTGCCCATTGCGGTATTTGGATAATGCGCCAAATGAAAAGTCGCCACAGAGAGCGTTGTACGAAATTTATTAAAAAATTCCACAAAATCGACGTATTCATGATACGGATTATTTAAACTATGTTAATATTTGCGGTTTCGGACTGAACGTGCTGAAGCCACCGTAACAAAAGCAAACTATGGATGGGCCTGAGTATAGTATGCTAATAGTTTGTATACGTGCTTTACAACAAATTAATTTAATTAATTCCAAATAATTCCTAGACGAGATGAGTATAAGTAGGTCTAAATAAATATATATTAAGACATTTATTTTTAGTTTTGTCAAAAATATTTATCGGATTTCTGCATTTTAAAAGCTTTAGATATGCTTATTTCTAGGAAACTTTAGAATTTATGTATAACAGTGGCCTTGTTCCATGTGTTCTTTGGAACAGCCGATGTTCATAATTCGTGGTTGTTTTGGCTCATATATTAAGCTAATTGACAGAGTAGAAACCATTATTCATAATGTACTTTAGTGCACACCTAGCAGTCCGGCGTTGTTAAATCAGAGATACAGATGATTTAATACAGAGAATACACTTTTGTAGAAACACAATAGGTTGTGAAATATTTGGTCATCATGACAGACTTCAGCATTGCCAAGTTTAACAACTACCAGGAGTATCTGCACTCCTTCACGACCGTCGAGGACTTTCGATACTTACCTTTCCACAAAACAGTCATCACTCTCACAAAACTCGGCTATCGGGAGCACCGCTCTTTCTACGAAGAGGACGAATTCCTGAACGTGAAGAAACAGGTGGAACAGCTCCTGAACCCAACGGTTTCTGCCCAGATATACTACAGTCAGTACTTCAAAGGAACCGACCCAGCACTTTGGGCCTTGGCCGATCGCGAACATGGCAATGTCCAGCAGGAGATATCGGTAAATACGTAAGGAAATATTTTATATTTATAATAGAAAATCTCCCCATGCAGACCATTATCTTTTTGGAAATAAGCGGACGAAGTGGGTTCTCCAAGTCCGGCTACATTGACTTTGAGGCCAGTCTGCGTAACTACCGCTTCAAGGGACCAAATGCAGTCGACTGGAGGGCAGTTTTCGAGGAGCGGAAGTTGTTGAAGCCCCAGCCGAGTGATATAGTCTTCTACGACTGGAAGACCAGGAAGATTTTTTCGAATGACAATGACAATTATACGGTGGTTGCTCATCCGGAATATGGTCTTATGTTTGCTCACAAGGGTGATCACAAGAACATACCCGTTACCACCAAGAAGAACCCCTTCTCCAGCAACGTTAGACGCTCTATGATCAAGTCGAATCTATATGGTTTCATTATTCTGTACGACCACCACGTTCGTAAGAAGACTTAAATTAGTATTGATGTCTTGGCGAGCAATGAATATAATTTTAAATATTGAAGTAAAAAGTGCTTTTCTTATGTATAATGTAGGATGGGTCTCCTTCTAACCCAACTAATAACTGTCCTTCAGATAATATTAATGTGATTTGATAAAAGCTAATGCTTGCAACGCTCGAGCAAGCAAAATTCCACTTAAGTTGTCAACACTGCTGCCTACACAACCGCCCACACACACACACATACTCAACCTACCGCACTCACACTGCGACACTCTTCAGGACACGCACGCCCGCCTGTGCCCATCCATCCACACCTTAAATACCCAAATCAAAAAATAAATGGTAAACACTGGACGATCCCAGCCCCCGAAACCGCATGGCCCCATGGCAACCAGGGCGAGACTCCATCGGAAAATGCTGATGATATGATATTTAGAATATTTTTTCCCAGTCGGACGGGCTGGCAGGCAGGGATGTGTTTCTTGGGCTTGGGGTCTCAAAATTCCTGCAGAGCATGGCAAATATTTATTTAATGCTCCGGAGTGGACAGCCGATAGCCAGACATGCAAACCGAGGGGTTGGAAATACTACTTGTTTGCTTTTGGTGTTGGAGGCGGGTCCTCCGGTCTTTGAGAAAGCTCCATTGTTTCGGTCTTGGCAACATTGTTGCTGCTGCTTAGTTAATTTCTAGTCATCAACTGCAGAGAGGCTTTTGTTTGGCAACCAGACAATAGCATATCACCGAGAAAAAAACCAAGGATAACGAGGAGATTATTCTACAATGAAAAAATCTGCTTAGGGGACTAATTAATGACATTTTGGAAATGTAAAAGAACTTTTGGTACGATTAATGTAATACCTAAAATGAAATTGAAACTTTGTATCATTAAGTTTATTTTAATATTTAGAAAAAGAAAATTTATCTGATTTCTATTTTTCCACGTGTGCTGACTAAGCTCTAAGCCTTGGAAGAGCTCCAAAAGTGCCAGCAAACAACAAAAGGGGCGTTCCGGAGGCGTGGCCAGTCTATTGTGAGAGAGTGTGTCTAGTTTTAAGTGCTTCCAGCGTGTATAAATCACATTGTTGAGCATTTTTACCGATTGTTGAGGCAGAGGTGCAGGTAATGTCTGCGCACAAAAATATGCAATAAAATATTTTGTTGCCGCCAGACGTTTTAAGTGGATTTTGCAGACCACAAAATGGCTTAATAGGCGAGCAAAGGAGCCCAAACTTTGGGTTTCATTAGCATTAACGGGCGGTTGGCTGCTCGGCCGGCTTGTCAACACACCCACATCTGAGAATCGGAAAGCCCACGACCAGAAACAATATTTATGTGCAGGTTAACACGTGAGTACGAGGCTGCGTGTGTGTGTTTTTGGGTCTGTTTGCTCACAAACCTGATTACAAAACTCATAAAGTCGCCATGAAATTCAAACAATGCGTTACGTGCATCGAATACTGAGAGCCCCACACACAAAGGACAAGATGAGAAGGTCCCACACTCACACAATCACGTACAAAGGACCCGTGCATAAAGAACATTTTGGTTTTGACCCGAGCAGTTGAAAGCGGATGTGTGAGAGCCTCTGTTTATTACATTTTGATTATTGCAATCTCGTTTCTGGGAACCCAAGCCCGAAACACACATCAAAGGATCTCAAACTGATTTACAGTTGCCGAAAGTTGGCGAGAAAACAAATGGAAACATCGCAGAAAAAATCAAATCAGCAACTGCGCCCAGCTCTCGGCCACCTTAAAAGCATTTCAACTGCCGGCCAACAAGAATACAAATATAAATATTTATACGAGTGGCCCGCAAAGCGATTTGTCAAAAGCGGTTCTTACTTGTGGATTATGAATACTTTGCTTGAATTTAGCTGACAGCAGAAAATTATTACACAATGATTAATATTTATTTGCCCGGGCCACTGAGCAGCGATTCCCGGCGGAATTTCTGGCCCGCAGTTGAGTTAAGTTCAGTTGAGTCCAAGAAAGAGGCCACAACAAGTGACAATGTGCTGAATATAAACATTTTCTCCGCCCAGCTACTCCTTGCGAGCCGCTCAAAATGGCTTTTAATTCAGATTTATGCCTTGCACGGCATTGTGACAGGCAAAACCAGCACAAACACAAACAGAGGCCAGCGTGTCCTGCGAAAATTATGATATTTTCCGGCCTCCAAGGCGCTCGCCTTTGCCTTTGCTTGATAAGCTATCGAACAATAAAATAGCCTCGGCCGTGATTGGGGTTCGAAGTTTGCGGCCAAGGCAAATAAGGATATGCGCAAATAAAACAGCAATAAATCAAATCGATTGACGATCTCATGATGCGGCTGGCCTCAGCGATTAAGGCCTCAGTGCCGAGATTTCGTCCCATATAAATAAATCGACTTGGGGTCGAAAAGTGATTTTGATTGTTATTTGTTTGCCGGCATCGGCATCTTAGTTAGCTCGCCTGTCGACTCGCGACTTGACAAGCAATTTATGGCGATATATTATATAGAGGCATCCATAATTTATGCCCAACTGCAGGAGAATCGCTGCAGCGGAAGTGCGAATCGAGAATCGGGAGCCAGAAATTCGAAGGGAAGCTGCCACTGTCAATAAGGAAACTTCATTATAAATTACCCAACTGACAGTTGCAGGCAGACGGCGGAGAATAATAATAATGGCAGTCGCGGCGAAAGTTAAAAGCCAAAGAAAACCCTCTATAAGCTCTTACCCACCCCGGAGATTGTTTCAATCTGCTTAAGCGACCAAGTCGATGTCGGAATCGAAGGACCCAGCATTTTGGCCCCCAGGCAATCAGGCATGCAACCAGATCTGCGCCAGATCCTGACTCGACCCCATCTGCCGACCGATTGTTGTGCTTAAAATTGCTGAATAATTGTGCGGAAGTTGGGAGCTGTTGCATTCTGGGATGAAAATGAAAAAGAATGAACATAAAGTGAGGGTGGTCCATGAATCACATAAAAAGCAAATGTCGCGTCGTTAGGCTAAAAGCTTTATGCAAATTTCCCATTGCTTCTTATCATATTCTCTTTGCTCTGCTGCAAGCTGAATGGAAATTGTATTGAACAGGGAACGACATTGCATTGCATTGCAATGTATATAAGTACGATATCGGGGAGTTAATTGGGTGGGCGGTCATTGATGTGCAACTAAGATCAAGTGTCTGCAATTAGGTGCAATTGTTTGAGAGGAAGTGTCACTTGGTTATGCATTTGAACACGCAGGGCACTTACCAACCCCTTTTAAGCGCATTATTATTACTGCAACAGCCATTCGAACGGTTATTGGATCGGTTAGATCGTGTCTGGCGAATTAATTAATATGCAGCACATGTGCTTGCATGAAATGTGTGTGCCTACACTGAAAAAAGGAGAATGCTCTTTCATTCGTATAACTTGCATTTAATTTAATCAAATATTTAATATTTAAGACAAGATTTAGTCTAAGAGAGGGACCAAACTTGGAAAATTAGTTAGTAATTTTGTTGCTCTAAATGGTTTCCTTAATGACGTTGATGAGCAAGATGCCCTTATTCCTTTAAATCTTGAAGCTTGGTAGCTGCCCGCACTTCCACATCCGCATCATGATCTGGATCTTCCGGGACCTCGTCTGATTTAAGCACTTTTCCAGCCTCCTCATCAGGGCCAAACTTCAGTTCAAAGGGAAAACTCAATCTGGGCACCTCGAAAGTGTGCACGTGGTAGTCGTAGTTGGCCTGATTAGCTTGAGGATTCAGATTCAGACCAGCCTGCGGCAGCTTGCAAGGATGCCCCTCGTGTTTGTGGTGCATATAGATGGTGTGTCCAGCTTCCTCCGCCAGCTTGTAGGCTTCCTCTTCGGTGATCCGCTTTGTGGAAGCCTCAGGAGTTAGTTCGGTCTGGTCGATGAGTATGTTTATATCCATGGGCACGAGCATGTACGTTTCGCCAGTACTTTCGTCGGTTTGAATTTGGCCTAATTGCTCGCGGTACTCGTCTGAAATGCAATCGAACTTGATCACATTGTCCGATTTCCAGCGATCAATTTCCTTGGCGTCTGCGCGCTGGAACGTATTCGATTCCGAAGCTCCAGAGGCCACTGCATTTGATGTAATCTCAAATTTGTGTAATTTCGGTTGCTTTAGCTGGACAAAAGCCTCCGTCTTACCAGCCTCCACATAGACTTGCACATTATCCAGAGCCTTGGCTATGCCCCTTTCCTTCGATGGCTCCTTCTGATCCTGCTGGCTTTCGTCCTTTATTTCCTCTGCCAGTAACTGCTGAAGCTTTAGCATCTGCTCCTTAGTCAGATTGAGATCCCTTAGACTCATCGTTGCCCTGTGCGGTTGTAAAGATAATATATAATATAATGTACCCAAATAAATACGTTGTGGATGAAATTCGGAGGGGGAATAACTAGATTCTGATAATGTGTGGTCTTAGAGTAGAAAACAAAGATCACTAGATAAAGTCGTTGTGTTTAGAAGTATGCTTTTCATGTACCCTTTCTTCATAATTTCTTGCAGATTATTTTCAAGAATTTTTGGGATGCATACTCGTACATGCAAAACTAGATTTCCAGTGCACTTGCTTCCTACATTTGCATTGTTTTGCTCGGCTTCTATTGTTTAGACAACGGACCTAAATTCAATTATTGTTTAAACACATCGAGAGCCTTACCATCATAATCTGAGACAAACAGTAGCTGATTGTCCTAAGGGCAGGGGTACAATTAAACAGCCTTGTCCGCACATTACCGCTCACGTTTTATGGCTGCCGTTTAAAAATATTGAAAAAAGCAGGGCAGGCACGAAATTGAAATGCCTGCCAACGGGCGCAGCTTTATTGGCACCCGTCGACCAGGAGCCGGGGCATTATCCTGCAGATGGCTGCGGTCACTGGACATTAGGCGCTGGAGGACACCCGGTGTCCGTCGACAAGGCCAGGATCATGGTAGAACGGATACGGGCATTGTACATGAGATGGCGTCATTAAATACACATTACCCTGCCGGCGCAGCAGCAACTCAGGATCAGGGGCAGGAGCAGGCGGCGGGGAATGGAGGCAGTCCGGCGATAAAGGCACAACAACCGCCGAGCAACAGTCGACCAACAGGAGAATGGCTATTAAAAAGCAGCCCGGCCCGAAGATAGACATGGTCGGCTACAGTGGCAGACATAACAAATTACACCATTTCGACAGGCGGTTCGCAACAGGAAGGCAGTGTTGTTGGAGAGATTTTCTTAGCTGTTAGCTATTTCTGAGATGCACATCAAGGATATTTAGTTGTCCAAATCCATATAATTCTTTAAAGTAATGTGTATATCTCAAATTGTATGCTATCCAAATTGGCCAAATTATTTGTAGTAAACACGTGTACGTGTATGTTTCAAAATATTAATATTAATATTACAGATGATTATAGTTTTCTACATTTAGCTATTTTTATCCGCTATGGCCAGCACTGGATTGGCATTATGGCCGGTGGTTCGCCGGTTCGCTGGTTCGATGGTCGGTCTTCAGTTTCAATTGTGCCGGCAAACGTGACTCCAAATTGGCTGCCGGCGAATAATTCATACGAAACACTTTCGCACCGTGCGCCTTGCCATTAGCATCGTACAACATCCCCCAACGTCCATCCACCACCCACCACCCACTGACCACCGCTCACAGCGCCAACCTCCACCCACTGGCAACAGAAAGGCGCCCACTTCGAGCCACAGCGTAGACCATGCCATGCCCCATGTAACCCCACGATTGCATTTACAGCAAATTATTTATGGCTGCGACAGACACGGAACAGGAAGCGAGTATGCGCTGCCAACTTCACGTCCATCAATATTTTATGAAACCCTGTCTGCAGAACGCTCCGCGCTGCTCGCAGCCGCAGCCGCAGGAATGGATGGGTTAGAGTCCTCGGAACAGGACGAGGGTATCTGCTTACATGGCTGCCTTGTGCCTTGTGCCTTCTGCCCTCTGCCGGCTGCCTGGCTGTCGATATCCGGTAGATGAGTATCTAAATTGCCTTTACTGTTGATGAATTAGCGCCGGCTGCCTGCCGCTCCCATTTGCGTGGAATGGGTGGCATTGCAAGTGCCTGCGTGGCACAGATAAGCTTCCACGACGGGTGCAAATTTCAATTTGTTCTCGATGATTTTGCGCTCATCAAATAGGCCGGCAATCTAGGCAGACGGGAACACGACCTTGCTCGAAAGGATATGAAGTGATGCCTGAGCTACAATAGCAAGGAATTGGCAATTCATCAAAGCGATGCATCTGAAATTACTCCATTATCGTGGAGCTGTATGTAATATATTCCGTTCAAATAATACAATGCAAACTCCGAGTGTTAGAAAATTACCTAGCAAACCTTGAGTTAAATATCAGTAACTTCTGCAGTATTTTTAAATTACCAGTTTAAGGCCCATTATGTTACTCTCTCGCAAGGAAATCGTATCGTTATTGCTATTCCTTACGGCGGTTAGTTGCACCTGAGTGCTATCTAATACCTGACCTTGTGACTCCCCTCTCCCATCTGCTCCGCAGATCATTTCCGTGCTGAACGCGTCGGTGTTTGGGAACGTCCTGCCCCTCCACGTCAGTTATGAGCAGCTGGCCCAGCAGGTGGTCTGCGTGGGAACCGCCTACATTTGCCTGATTTACGCCCTGAGCACCTGGTTGTACCACTCGAATTATTCCAGGACTCGTCTGCATATGCGTTTGGTGGTGGGTGCTCGTGCAAATGGCGGTGTAGTCTAATTTGGCACATTTAAATATCCAATTTTTGCAGCTGTTGGCCATGATTTTGATTATGATACTATCTAACTGCTGTTCTACCTATTTTTTCCTAAAGGCCTTTTCATTTGCAAAACTAGGAGATTCCATGGAGCTGGTTTTCCTCTTTAGCAGCTTTGCAACGGCCTCCAAATCGGTCAGCCTGAGCATGTCGGCCATTTGCGTAGCGCTCCTGGTCGTGATCATGGTGATACTCATTGTGACCATCATCCAGACGAGAAGGAGACGCCAACGGGACAGGGTGCGAAACCTCGAGTCGCAAAAGCAATAAACTCATCCTCATTCCCGTGGGAGTGCACATTAATTTTGGTTTTCATGCAGCGCCAAGCATTTCATGTCGCTGCAATGTGGCGCCGCAGCTGCAATAATATAAATATTGCACTCGTACGTCGTTTGGCACAGACAGACACGAACTGCTCACCTCCTTTATTTTTTTCACCCATGACACACCGATTCTGTCTGTGTGCTTTCTTCACAGGTGATATGGAAAATATATAGAAGAGAATCTCTGCCATTGTTTACCCAAGTCGCAGTGTGCATGCCCTGACCTCAAGGAATGCCTATAAATGTAATGGCAGCACACTTGAGAATACTTATGTATTTTTGTAGTTCAATGTTGTAAATGTTACTAAATAGGATAGAATAAATTATATGGCCTTCAAAGATCTTTAGTCGTTCTGGATTTTAGAAATAAATAGTATTATTTATAGGAGATTTGGTATCATTCAAAAACTTAATATCCAACACGATAGTATACAAAAATGTTGTGTACATTTTTTCTCGATTGTGAGAGATGCCTTCAGACGGATGCATTGGATGTGTGAGTGCTTGGGCACCATCAGCGCCCAAAAAATACCATTCGGGCCAAGATAAGAATGAGCAGTGAAACTCATAAGGAAGACAAGCAGCCTCTTCACATCGGTTTGTGTACCATTGCATTTTGCATAATGAATACGGCAGACAGTGCAATTTCCAGCAGCAGACAAACGAAGTTAGGCAAGAACTTAAAGGCTTGCCGAGGCGGAAAAGTTAAAGTAAGCTTTTCAGCACAAGGAGGAAGGGGTTGGAATTTTGGGCGGGGTTTTCAGGGGTGTTGTAGTAGCCTAATTACGCTCCAATGGCTGCCCATCAAAAGTGACAGTTGGCAAGGCAGGGGCTTACAATAAAATTTCGAGTTAAGTTATTGCCGCGCCGCTGGCGAGAGCAACGCAGAATACTCAGTTGAAAGTAATTCCAAATTTAATTGCGCACAATTTAGATTGGCGAGATGTTGGCGTGCGTTTAATTAACTGAAAAATAACATAAAAAGCAAAACGAAAACAAAGCCCAATGACAGCAGCGGCGCCAGTGGAAATGCTTAATGTTAAATGCCAACTAATTAAATTTCGGGCATGCCAACGAAGTTGACTGGAGTTGAACTGCCGAATTTATTGTTGCATTTAATGGCCAGCGCAGGCGGTTGTCCTTGCGCCATCGCTTGGCCTTACCACTTTTTATTGCGTATACGCAGGGAGGCCCCATCGCGTATACGCAGTGTATTACGCCCCTCCAGTCACAGCATGCAAATGGCCAGGCCAAGGGATTCGCTTTGTGGACAGGGATATAGGATGCCAAATGGCGCAGAACCACTGGCATTGCGATTGTAATTCCGATTGGGCAAACGTCAGTTTCTCTGCGGTTCGTCGCCAAATGAAGCCAATAAAATATCCTTGTTCGCACGCAAACGTGCGAAAGTGATTCATGTAAACTGATAAAAATTTAATCATATTTCACGTATTAACACGTAATTATTAATGCCTGATAAGTGTCGGCAGTCGGCAGTTGGTAAAATGACAAAAAGTCGCTATTAATATGCATTATTTTCCCCTAGTTGTCAATTCACTGGGTAAATTAAAAGCGCCATCGTGTGTCCACAAGTTTCGAAAAGACTTTGGTACGCATAACCATATAATTATAGTACTTTAAAAATATTTTATAGATGCTCTTAAAATCTTAAATTTAATTATATTTTACCGCGCAACACTCTCACTTGCTTTTAATCAGAACAAGAACAGGGTATTTTACACCACTGCGTAATCGTTCTGTGTTCAATTCTGTTCGAGTGTGTAATTTCGCTGTGAAACTTCACTTTTATTATTATTGTCATTGTTATGTGAGCGAACGCCTGTCGGCGGGTTTATTTGGCATGGCCCGCGCTTTATTTTCTTTTAATTATGTACTCAGATCACAAATGTGGGTCAATTAACAAGCAGTCGATGGCCCCCATCGATGTCGAAAAATCGGGATTAAACAATGCCGCAGACGTGCTGCCAGGACAATGCAAACAATTGTCAGAATTTAAATTCAGCGGCAACGGACCGCGAAGTTTCCACTCACTATCCGGTTCAATTTTTGCATAAATTATGCCGCCATATGTCACACATCTGGCGAATGCTTCGAATTTCGATTTTCCGCTGTTTTTCCGGAACTGTCAACTGCTCGGCGTGTGTAGGTCGCTATTTTGCGATCCTTGGACGGACGGCAACAGCTTTTGTCTAATTGCCATTGGCATCATGCCAAGTGATGGACTGGCTTTGATATAAATCACTAACTGTCTGCAAAACCAAACAAAATGTGGCATAAACTATGTTAAATATTGATATTTACATAATCCATACAAAAAAATTTAAAATTTAAGCTTTAAGACCAAGTTAGTTATTTTACTTGATTAATTTATTTCGTAATTATATCTACCATACTATTTTGAGATAAAACAAGAGAACGCAATAATCAAGTTTCTCGACGATGAGATACCCGGTGGTTAGCTAAGGAGTAGGCTTCACTAGAGCATGCACGTGTAATCTCAACTTTCAAGCTTTCACAGCTTCCGAGATCCGGACATTCCTACGGATGGACAGGCGGAAATACCCAGATCGACTTGGCTATTGATCCTGATCCAGAATGTACATATTTTATAGAGTTGGAGAAGCTTCCTGCTGCCTGTTAGACACTTTTTAAGAAATCTGGCATACCCCTTTTAATCTACGAGTAACGGGTATAACTATTCTGAAGTGTCACGTTTGTTATGAATCAGTTGTCACAAATATGTCGGACACAATTATATACTTATCTAAGCTGGAACATTGGTTTTGAAGCTAAAAAAATTCAATCCAAAATGGAGGCTTTTGATCGTGTAAATAATCAACCAAATCATGGCGATATAAATGAAGAAGAAGTGCCAGCGAATAGAGATGCCCAGAATCCTTGCCATGGCCTTCCAGGTAAGACATTTCAATTAAATGTCAAATTATTAATTTCAAGTTGAGTAGGTGAGGTGACTTCAAAAGGTACGACAGATGTGTCCAACGCAAACGCAAACGTCAACCAGCAGCAGCAGCAGAAAAAAAGTGGCGAAGATGTCAAATGGATTCACTTGCCTAGGACTGGCTGTCGACGTCGCAGGAATTTGCATCTGGATCCCTTTATGTGCAATGAGTGTCACCAGTATGTGGGTGGTGGCGTGGTCACCATCTGTGGCCATTTGTTTTGCTGGACTTGCCTGTGGCCCAAATTGAGTGGTACTCCAATGCCGAGATGTCCGCGCTGTCTACGCCATTTGCTCATGTACGAGGACATCATGCCCTTCTATGGAGAGGGACCCCATGCCCATCAGAAGGACAGTAATGTGCCGGCCCAGCCGGGCGCAGTGCCTCGTCCGACGGGACTGTACCTCTGCGACTCGGAGTATCCCAGCTGGTTCACGGTCAACGATCCTGAAGATGGTACCCCACCGAATATCCATGAAGCTAGCAAGGAGAGAGACCTTTACAGTGTGCTAAGGCTTCTGCCAATGCTGTACCCTAAGATCGGAGCTCAGATTACTTTTCTCAGGTGGTTCCAGTTGGGATGCGTGTTGGCCATATTACTGATATGGTCCGCAATATCACTGACCTAAGAGCGGTTTGTGGTATTTATATTTATATTTGTTACAATTGTATTATTTGTTAATGGGAGCGGAGTGCTTCTTGGTCGGAACCGTAATAAATTTCTGCTAGTGCTAAAAGTTGTTTTTATAAAACCGGCCTAATTGATTTATTAATATTATAAATAATTTGAATTTTTCATTATAACTGCGACTATAATTATAATTTGTTGTTCACACTGAGACAACTGGCTGCCAGGACATTTTCGTTGGAAGCCTCTTGCATCCTGAAGGGAACGCAAAAATATTTTCTGAACTCTCTGACCAAGTCAAAGTTGTTAAGCGCAACAACGCAAAGTACCGGGGCATTCAGGACTACTGAAACGATAAATTCTTTGGGCAGTTAGTAACTCAAACGAAGTTAAGCTGCTTTAAGTCGAAACGTAAAGCTATTTTACCTGAAAAGTATGGAGAGAAACGAACCAAATACTTCGGCTAATGAACCATGGTCAAGTGAATATTCGGGGAATTGGGTTAGCCCAATTGAGTTGTTATCCGACTTTTGTGGGGGATGGACACTTGATGACAGCTTCGTGGGGGAACTGGTGGAATTGGAGTTGCGTGTTGGCCTTGGCGGCTTGGCTCTCGGCAATATTTATCATTAATTAAGTGATTGCCGAGAAATCCGTAAGGATATATAACCGAAAGGCAAGCGTGAGAAGTTAATGCGGCAGCTAGGTGGAGAAAGCGACACGGACATCGAAAGGAAGCGGATGCAGATGCATCCTGTGATTCAGCTTTATTATTGCAGCTTAAATGGCATTTGCCAACAGCAGCGTGCTTGTGCGCGTATGTGTGCGTATATGTGCGTGTGTGCATGTGTGCGTGTGGGGAAAATGGAAAATCCTTTCTCCGCCTTTGCGAGGACATGACAATGTCCGCTGCAGCAACACAGAAAATTGATGCGTTTTAAATTGCATTAAATTCCATGGAACGTAATCCCAGCCACTCGCACACAGACACGCTCACGAAAGCCAGCTCTGTGTGCAAATTAAATTAATTTTGTTTGCTTTGTTCTCAGCGCGTCTGGCGTTATGACACTAGCTCCAAGCACCAAGCACTGAGCCCCGAGTAACGTGTATCGATTACCCCGATTTTACCAACTTCTAGCTTTACTTTCTGCGAAGTTCCAGTTGGCCAATTTAAGCGGCGTCTGCGCCAGGCCAAATTTAGCAGTAATTAATTTAAATCAGCAGTGGCTGCAGGAAATGCAAAATGCCAAATGCCGGGACTCGAGACTCTGGAGGCATCATTAAAATCTTCCGCCTGCTGAACAACAAAGCGCTAGTAAATTGCTCGTCACGAGCGCTACTTTGTTCCCTTTTGCATTTCGCAGTTTGCCATTCGCCTTTTGGCCAAATATTACCGAGCTTTGGCAGACATTTCATTTTAAATTATGCCGCCATATAACACATGACGTATACGTAATTACGGAAGCCATCTAGTGCTGACGACTTGGCTACCTTAGAACAAAATCTAGCTAGTAATGTTCAATTCGTACTATTGCATGCATAACAATTATAACTTCTTAATGAGCTTGTGTTCTTTCAAATACCCAAATGAACTAAGATCATTTTAAACTTAACTAAATTTGCATTTACATTTTCTGTACTAGGCTAGTATGTACTGAGTTATTAAGATATTTTTTAAGCTTTATTTTCAGGATAAAAAAATATGTAATTTATTGTTTAAAAATTTTCGAACTCGGTACTTTTAATGTTTAATCTTCCTAAGCTCTGCAAGAATTGGTAGTGGGATCATGGTCATATGAGGAACAGACGTAATTCCCTTCTCAATTACAGAATTTGCCTCCTATACTCCACACACATGACATGCGCTATTTAAGGCACTCCCCATCTCCACCCCCCTCCTCAACCACATTTCCATGCTCATTCCCATCCCCTTTCCCATTCCAGCACATCCCATTGCCACGCTGCAACTGTGAATGTGGCTTTTATTCATTACATAATTACTGTTGTGTTTGCCCTGTGGCAAGCAGCAGTCGCCCCTAGGGCAAAGGTTAGTGCAACCAGCAGTGATTATGAGTAATTGTCAAGGTTAGTGGGGAATCTCGTTATCCGTGGGGTATGTACTTGCATAGATATAGATGTTGAAACTTTTGGTGCGCATCATAACTTGATTTTCAATTTAGTAAGGGCTTAAATTAATAATTTAATTTATAATAAAAGGGGTGTTTTACAAAGTTTTTGTTTCAGTACATTTTGAATACGATATTTAATTATGTTTTTATTTTTATTAGGATATGCGCAGTGGTCTAGGTGTAAGCTCCACTTTCCCTTGCTCAGTGCTACGAACTCAAGACGTTCTCGCTTTTGGCAGCGTAACGAATTGCTTCCAAGTGACCATAAATAAATGTGACGTGACTCTTCACAATAAGAACTCCCACGCAGACACAATGCATAATGGTGGTGGTGGCGGCCCAGACAATTCCCCCCGCTCCTGCACACATTTGTGCAAATAGCATGCACTATGCACGTTTCCGTTTCCGCTCTTTCGGGCTTACAGGCGTTGCAATTGTCGCTTGTTGCAACGACAGCCTCCGCCATTTTGTCTCCATAATGCTGTGTGTCCGTGAGTGTTTGTGTGTGTTCGTGTGATCCAGTGCATTGGTAGGGGTGTGCCACAGTCTGGCGCACATGGCGCATACTTTATGCATAACAAATGGCTGCTTAGTATATTGTTTAATTTATCAAGCATGAATTATTTATGTCGATCTGCGTGTCGTCCAATGATATAAAGTGCAATGCAAAACTTGAACTTTGCTGCAAACTTTGCGAACAGTAGCTTTTATAGTCCACTGTAAAATACAAAGAATTTAACTCTTAAAAGATAAATACATGAATTAATTAGCCCGTCGTATTTTATTTATTTAATTATATTTGGAATACAAGTTAAGCATATTATTATGAAATAAGTATCATACAACCTAAAATTTACCAATTTTTATGCAATCGTATTATTTTTCAATAATATGTAAAATATTTTCGCAATGTGTAGTATCCGTGCGGGTTGTCCTATCCTTGTAGGCTTGTCGAACAAATCAAATTTATGTGCTACAAAATACAGAGGCGTTCATTCCCAGTTGTACTCTTTGTCCAGGTAAACTTCACTTGGGCAATAAAATATTGCATTGTTGTGGCCGCTAGGACCAACTTAACTCAACTTGTTGAAATGAAAATTTCAATTGAACTCGGTGTGTTGTGCTGGTGTCAAGAGCTCTAATTTAGATTTATTTCGGTTGATTAATTTGCATTCGAATAGGTACACATAAGTGAGTAAGTGACTGTGTGTGAATTTGGCAGATGATAATTGCAGGCAAAGCTCAAGCGACCAAAAGTTTCAGGCACTTTTGAAATAAATGGGAAATGGCTTTTCCAGATATTGTGTGAACACAATGGCACGTCTTCGGCAGAGACACAAAAATGGAACACTCTGCTACAAAAGAAATGCACGACATTGTGCCAAGTTGATAGGGGTTGGGTTTCAGTGGGTGGGCATCATTCAAACGTGCCTGTACCGAGCTCACTTGACGCCATATTGTGTATAGATAACGTGTCTATTCAGACGAGAACTGATACGGGCCAAAACACAGAATGCGGCCAGCCAGGAGCAGCAAACTTGACTTCCTTGTGGCTTGAGTAACAAGTTGGGCATAATGCGGAAGCTAAAAACTGTTGCATACTTTTATGCGCTGCCACAAGCCATTGGCATCAGGACCTCAGAAATGCCACCATCTCTAGCTCCACCTCCTGGTCCTGGTGCTTCTCTCAAGCCCAAAAGGACGACGCTTATCACCGCAAAAGTTTTTACCACTTTAGAGTCGGTGTCTGCTGCCGAGAGACATTTTGCCGTCGAGCTGTCAGCGCTCGAACTTGGCAGCCGGAGCAGAGCAGCAGCTTTAAAAACTAGCCATAAAATATATTACATACAGAGCAAGCGGTCCAATATTCTCCGGACCGAACGTGCATCCGTTTTAATTGCCATTAACACCATTATTACAGCTGGCGCATATCAAAGAATCAAACACGAATTCGAGAGTCATATTCAATATCCAGCACAGATTCCGATTAAAAATGACACGCAAGTGCTTGAAGTGTCATTTAAAAAGAAGCGAATAAGCTTCTGTGGCTATCGATGGTATATATTCCCACCATGTATGAGTTTCGGTTGTAAATTATGGTCTGCGGGCTTAATTTAGCTTCGTCAGTGAATGAAAAATGAATGTAATCGCGAAAAAAACCGACTTATCTAAACTACTATACTCAATGGTTTTAATTTAATTAGCTTCGCAGCTGTTTTACATAACTTTTAATTCTTTGAAACTAAATTCAGCTCCGATTACTGGCCATATTGCAGAAATCAGTGGAGCAAGAGCCCTGCGATATCCACTCATCATCAGCGAAACTCTTATTTTTTTTTGTTTTTGCCTCTGCAATTGAGCAGCCAGTGACTGGAAAATGTGAAATGTCCGCGGGGCGCGGGAATTTAACTTTTAATCCATCAAAATGTTCCCAACATCGCTGCAGCCCCTGTCGATTTCAATGAGAAAGGGAAAATTGTTTTAGCAAGCAGACAAAAAGAGAGCTTGCGAAAAAAAAGGAAAATCCAGACAGTCTGTCTGCGGCATCCCATCGAAATCCGAACGCTTTTCATTATTCTTTATTCGTCTCTCATTTTAAGCAAATGAATACTGGATCTGGATCCCCGGAGACTAGGACGTCGAGACTTTCTGAAATGATATAAATCTACGCGTAATTGTGTAAGCCTGGATCCCCTCGTTAGCTCCTTTTTACGGATAAATTGGATTATAATTTATTTTAATTGGCAAAAGCCAAATGCAGGTACAACACAAACAAGCCCGCCGAACGTTATGCGATCCACATGAAAATTAGCCACAAAATTACGCAGTCTGATGCCGCTTTCATTAGTCTAATTGTGACTCTTGGGCGGGC